GTGTCATTACTCAAACAAGAAGGCACCCAAATTTATGATGCAATCTCAAACAAAATTTAACTTAAATCATTCACCAACAGAATTGTTATCTGTGTTTTACATCCTTACAAGTTGTCGGTTCCATTAGTTTTTTTAATGATAATAAAACATTCTCATTTATCTATGTCTAACTTTTCTACTTGAATGTGAAAGATAAAAATAAATATTAAATAATATATTGATCATTCAAAAGCAAATATCAAAACTCATACGAATAAGGAGCTACAAATGAGCAATAAAATAAAAGCCTCTTTGTTGTATAATCAGGGAGTTGGTTAGATAAATTTCAAAAGAAAAGTTAGTGGGTTTAAGCAGATTGTGAAATAGAGAACACTTAGTCAACCAAGTGACATTACTTGTCGACTAAGAGCTTACTGTCACAAACTTAGTTTAGAGACAGAAACGACTTAATCGACTAAGAAGTATTGTTAGTCGACTAAGAGTCTATTACCAGAAACTGGGTTCAGAGACATAAACGACTTAATCGACTAAGAGTATTCTATCTGAAAATTTGAGTTCAAGCACTAGAAGACAGATTAACAGCTAGAACTGTCCCCAAACTGTTTTCAACGGTTAAAATCTGTCTAATAGCCATCAGAGTTGATTTTTCAAGTATATAAGGCACTCCCAACAGCTATAAATCAGTTTTGAAGGCTTCCAAGATAAAAAAGAGCTCAAAAATAGCAAAAACTCTTTACATACTTTCTTCACTTTACTCCAATCTTTCTAATAGAGTTAAACACTTCATCTTGTACCATTCGGATCAGGTTAGTGATTATAGGTACTTCTTTATTTCTGTTATCCTTGATTACTTAGAGCGTGTGAGTCACTATAACAGGATTGATCAAGCTTGGGCTAGCTTGATTAAGTGTATAGGTTCTAACTCAACCTAGAAAAGCTAGTTTTGAGTTTTGGTTGATCTCAAGAAAAACTATTGTTAAAGGTAATGGCTAAGCTTGTGAAAAGCTATTGTAAAAGTTTGGTGAAAGCTTGAAAATTTCACTATTTATAGTGATTTAGTTTAGAAAATTCTTGATTGAAAAATCAAGGTAGTGGATGTAAGTCTTTAATCGAACTACTATAAATCTTTGTGTATTGTCTGCTCTATTTTATTTTTCATTTTCATTCTTTGTTAAATCATTCCTTCATCTTGCATCGAACTTCTCATCATAGACCTTCTACTTGCTCCCAATTAGAAATCAAGTTTAGTGAGAGCCAAAAAAGTGCTATTCACCACCCCTCTAGCACATTTACTTGGGACCAACACAAGTGATTCTACTTCTTTAGTAAACTCCAATAGTGGAAGTTCCGCTAAAAAAAAGTAGTCTTTTTTTTTTTTTTGGTGTTATGTCTGCAGCTTTTACTATTGGGAATGATTGTAAGAGAACTTAGAGTTTTGGGATATTAATAAAAATGCCATCACATGGGTTTTTTTTTTTAGGTTGTATCCTCGTTGTTTGAACTAAGTGGTTTCTTTTACTAATGTGAGTGTGACAGACTTGGCTTTGGTTTTCTTCCCTTTTTCTTACTTAATTTGGCTCCTTATTTTAGCTGTCTAGCTTGAACTAGGATTTTCAAATAACAAGAGAAGAATCTTGGAAAAAACTGATAATTAGTTCAAGTCACTAAGGCCTATGTCATACAATAATCCATTATACAAATTTCAAGTCTAAATATGGTGAAATAAGTCTAAACTGCTAAAAGGGCTAAAAATGATAAAACCAAAAGACTAAAAGGGAAAAATTGTAGGCATTATCATTGGAACTTGAGTTACTGCCTAAGTTGCTAAAAGATTTTTCACCTTTCTAATCTGAGGCCCCCTTTGGACAATATATTTTGAAGGCAAGAGCACATTGCTAATTTCACAATTAACCTTGGAATCCCAAGCATGATCACTAACACCTTAACTTAACCACACACAACTACCCATGCTTAGAAATTTGAATCACCAAATGCCAAAATCCCACTTCACAACATAACTCATAATCATGGATTTTAGTCTTGAATATTATATGTTATATTAATGTTTTTTCTTTTGTTTCTACCATCTTTCAACAGCTTGCAAGCTTTGCTTGCTGAAAAATCAATGGTGAAGCAAAGAAAACAAAAAGGAAAAGTTTGACATGAGGGACCGCCCTTTGAAAAAGGTGTGGAACAGATAAGGGTTTAAGTTTCTCCTAGGCGTAGATTTCAATTTTCTTATAGTGTAGCCTATTGTTATACTTAAAAGAACATTTTCCCCAGAACTGAGTTACCACAAACGAATACAAATATTAACTTCTCAATTTTCATCTAATTTATCTCAATAACTATTGACCTATTTGATTAATCATTTCAATCATAATCAACAATATTACATACAGTTGAAAAAAGTTAAGAATAAATAAACATTACATAATTGTTATATCAAATAATAAATTGAGAAATATTAAATAAAGAGAGTTTTCAAAGCCTCCAAAAAAAGGGCAACAAAAAATAAAAAATAAAATAGAAAAAAAATAAGAAACAATACTTGAATGCAATTTTGAATTTTAGATTTTCTTTTCTTTTAATCTTTGTAAGAACAAAAAAAAAATCCTAGAAGGATGATTTGTAGAGAGGGAGAAAGGAGAAGGAGATCCATAGAGAGACGGAAGGGGTATTTTTTTAGAGAGAATCTTTTTCGATAAAAAATAAATATATTAAGAAGTTGGCGTGTTTTTTTATAAAAAAGAAAAAAAAAAGAAAGCTCTTCTTTGGAGCTTTTCTTGAAGTTTTTTTTTTTAAGATTTTGTTCTTAAAAAATACATTTTTAAGAGCTCATCACAAAATTTTATTTGATCTAACTTTTGCTTTTAAGAAGTAGATAAGTTGAAAAAAAAGTCAAGCCAAACAAACACTAATTGACATCATCTTGTTAATCAAATAACACAGATTTTGAGATTTACATTTAATCCACTTTCAAAATCTTTAATTGACTAACTAACTTGGTCTTGGAGTTTTTCAAATCTGGCTTTTCATCGCTTTGGTCAACTAAGAAAAAGTTTTAGTGGACTATACTTCATAATTTTCAACTTAATCAATTGACTTATGAAATTTAATCAATTAATCTTTTATTCCTATCTTTCACTTTATTTTGAAAAACATTCCAATAGTTATAAGTACACCAATATAACTTCATCTCTCCTTATATATTTGTATATATATATATATATATATATATATATATGTTGTGTGTATGTTGAATCAAGATGAGATTGAATATCTTCCAAAATTGAGTTGAATTTAGTTTAATATTATATCCATCCTAATTAAATCTACTTGCTTAAAACAAATATGAGTAAATTTAGCAGCACACATGCTTGGGACTGAGACTTTTGTTTGTTAAATAATTTTAAGAATGAGTCTTCAGAAATATAATTTTAAGAATGCATTCACATAGAATATAACTTTAAACAAAACATTTTGAACAAATATGGTACAAACTACAAATTTTAATACTTATTTAATTTGTTGAGAAAACATAATTATATAAATAGGGATGTTTGTTTACAAATCATTCTCTGTAGATTTGTAATCACATTACCAATTTAACATGGAAATAAATATTTAATGGTTGTCTAAAATTGTAATTATATTGATTTTCTAAATTATATTATGTGTTATAAAATTATGATTGATGTGCTTGCCTCATGCATACTAAACATTTGGAATAAATATAACACATCTTAACCACTCTTTCTCTCTTTCCTCCTTTCTCAATTCAAATAAATCAAAAGGACCAACTAGAAATAGGTCTATGAAGGGTTTTTTTGGTATCACAATTCCAATCTAAAATATTTATTTTAATCTAATACCACCTTAATTTATTACATTGGTTAAGCTCAAATAAGAGGAAATTGGTAGAAGTTTTCCAAACTTTTGTAAAGTTAAAGTCTATATTATGTTAGTAAAAAATAAAAAGAAATCATATTAATATAATCTTTCTAATTTCGAATCCAAAATTGTTCTTTTGACTGTTCATAACTTATCTTTATAATAAAGGGATCACAAATATCAATCATTTAATATTTTTAAATTTTTACTATGCAAAATATTAAGAAAAATTAAAAAGGACTGTTAAATACATAAAATGTTTGAGTTATTTATTTAATGAACACTCATAGTAAGAAAATGTTAATTAGAAGGGATAATGGTAATGGCATCTTTTGACTAGAAAGGGGGCATGATTGAACATATGAAGAAGGTTGGGCCACCAAACCACCAAGGTCTTAGGTCTCGTGCCTCTCTATCTAATCAATCTAATGTTTTTGGAAATGTGAAGTCATGGTAGCCAATCAATCAATACATCCCAACAAAGACACAACTCTCTTTACTCCCACTTCTTCACCACTCCTAGGATTGCTAAAATACAAGAAAATTATCTCTTTTTTTTGAGAAAATAAAAATGGAAATCTCATAAACATCTTATTATTTTTCTTTCAAAATTTCAAAAATTTAATTTATTTTTTCCTCCTTATTAATATTAATGTAACATACAAGAGACAAAAGAACAATAAAACCAATGTCCCAGACAGTTGTCAACCGGACACTCATCTCAGGACAGTTTTTATATAAGGTTATAGATTTAAAAAAATTGAATCAAAAGCATTATTTTATAAATTGAAAAATCAAGTAAAATTGTCATCATAAAACTATTTGATCTGTTATTCAAATTTTAAATTTTAAATATTTTTATTTTTTTCAAAATAAACATATGATTTTATATGTTTTCTTTCAAAATACATGCTTATATTTCATTTTTTTTATTCTCTAAAATATTAAAAACAAATAAATAAAAGAAACAAAGAGGAAAAAGTCAAGGGCAAAAAAAAAAAAAAACCAAAGAAAAAGTCAAGGATTATGTTATTATTAAAACTTAATTAGTTTGTAAATTAGATTATTGATAAAAAGAGGGAAAAAATTGCAACAATATAAGGGTCGGTGCCAGCCAGAGAGCCAGTCCTCCTTCTCTCGGTTTCCTTTTCTTCTTCAGAATTCAGCCATCCATTCCTTTCAGTTTTTTCAGTTCTAAAGATATAATAAATTCGAAATCCGAAATTGAAAGTCATTTTCGAAAACCCTTCCTTGGATTACGCCTTAATCTTTCCTCTTAATACCCACATTTATCCTTTCTTTCTCTCCTTCCCTCTTGGGTTTCTTCTCTTCTTTGTTTGTTATTACAGAGATCTTTTTCTATTTGAGAAGCATAATCATAAAAATAAAGAAAAACGAAGAAGAAAAGAAAAAAAATGGCATCCAATATAGGAATGATGGACAGTGCCTACTTTGTTGGAAGGAATGAGATTTTAACGTGGATCAACAACAGGCTTCAGCTTAATCTCTCTCGTATTGAAGAAGTAATTTTTTTTTGTTTTACTATAAATATTAATAGAATATGCAAAATTATGTTCTTTCGTTTCTTCGTTTTTTAATTTTTGAAGGGTAATGCTTTGTTTTTTTTTTCTATTAATGATTCTTACTTTTACTGAATTTTATGGCTTCATATTACAATCAATAAGCAAATGTAGGATCTCTTTTGTTTTGGGTTTTTGTTTTTTTGGTGGTAATGTTGCTTCTTATTGGAAATGGTTAATTAATTGTCATTTTTTTAAAAAAAATTGAACGGAAAGAACAGGGATTGCTTTGAAATTGGTTTATGGTTTTTTTTTTTTGTCTTTAATTAAATCAGTTTTGGATAAGAACTCTATGAAATGAGAAAGAGAATTTTTTTGATGTATAAATGGGTTTCTTTAGGGCCATTTTAATGAATTTTTTATAATGTTTTCCAGCAAAAAATTTTGTTGATGTATAATGTGCAAGGTAACATATTTTTTAAAAGTTTCCTGATGTTTAAATTTTTTTTGTAAGCTACTTTGATTTACTTTAAGAGTGTTGGTTTTCTCCTTTTTTGCCGTTGATAGATAAATGTTACTCTTAGTATTTTAATAATTTCATTTTTCAACTTCATTGTTGATTCTTTTGTTCCTATATAATGCATCCCATTTCTTCATGTGATTTCAGACATTATCCATCATTTTGGATGGAGACGTAATGTGTTACCCAGTGATTCTACTGATATAGCCAGAAACAGAGATATATTTTCAGAGATATTCTTCCTCTGCTTGCTTTTGTAGATAAGGGCAATTTTGAGGGGAGAGAACCGTTTTGCTATGTCTATTGTGAAAGATTTACTCTGTCCTGCTAGTTGGGATCATAATAAGGGTAACATGGGGTGCACATGGACTATAAATTAGGACCAAAAGTGGGTGATAATTTGCTTATTTTTAATATTTCAATCTGTTGTGTTCAGCCTCCCTGGTAAGGTTCAAAGAGGTTTGATTGTGACATTGTGCTATCCTAGTATTTTTTAAACTTTAATGTGGCCACTCTTGGGACTCAAAAGCATTTGCAGTTTTTCATCTGCAATAATGGCCCTAGGAGATGGGTTGGTTTAATGAAGTAGTCTATTGTTGTTTGGCTCTCATATATTCTATTGAAGATGTGTAATATTCATATGAGGACTTTTGCTTCAGCTTTATGCCTTTGTTTCCAATTTTTTCTCAATTGAAAAATGGCTTGTTTAACACTGGTGCAGTCATTGTCATTCGCTGATATAATTGCACTATGCTTTTAAGTTTATTCTCTAAAGTATTGATGTTCATTATTTTTCTTCACTTTAACTACTTGTTGCCAGGCTGCATCCGGTGCTGTGCAGTGTCAGATGATAGATATGACCTATCCTGGAGTTGTCCCAATGCACAAGGTTTGAATTAGCCGACTTGTCTTCATTTCATCTTCCTTGTGTCTTTTGCTTAATCAGTTTACATCATGAAATGATTTTCCTGATTTTAATTAAAATGTAGGTAAATTTTGATGCAAAGACAGAATATGATATGATTCAAAATTACAAGGTTCTGCAAGAAGTATTCAACAAGTTGAAAATTGAAAAGGTAATTCCCTCTCTATTTACAGTACATTTTCTTTTTCAGTGCCTATCGTATGAGTTTTCATCCTTTCATCTACTGCACACATTTTAAAAGAATAAAAGAAGAAAAACCATATGTATGCTTCATCCCATGTGGTTGCATATGTGTCACTGAAAACCTAATAAATCAAGCATAAAGTTGAGTTAATTAATGGCATTTAGAAAATTCAATGACATTTCATCGGATAAGCTCACATGTGAGTTGCAGTTCTTTTGGCTGGTAGGCCAAAATACAATTGTGGCTGAACGCTAATAGAAAGTAGAGCAAGAGATATGATGCCATTGGTGGGATTTTTAATGAGAACCAGCAATTTGCTTTTGGCCTCACTTGCTTATTGGCATAACAATGGATAGTGTCATATGTTTAGATGCTTTTCTAGGAAGTGGAGGTTAAACTTCAAATGAATTAAGATTTGATCTCAGTCCCTTTGTTGTTCTCTGCCATGAGCAATTGAGCATATGCCAGCACATGAATAGGTCAATGAATTAGGTTGTCAGTGGTTTTTCTGAATCTTAAACTTGAACATAAAGTAATACTCATTTAGTAGTTTTATTCCATTATGTAGATAAGAGTTATTTCAAATGAGTCACCTATAATTTTGTCATATGCAGCATATTGAAGTCAATAGGCTTGTTAAAGGCAGACCTTTGGACAATTTGGAGTTCTTACAATGGCTGAAACGGTATTGTGATTCTGTGAATGGTGGAATTATGAACGAGTAAGCTATTTTTCCTGTTATTATATTCATCTCCTTCCCCTCCTGTAGAACTTACCATATTAGTATGTTATGGTTGTATTGTTTCATTTCTTTTGTGATATCACATTTTCTTGTGTTCTCCTAGGAATTATAATCCTGTTGAGCGAAGAGTTAAAGGTGGAAAGGAGCGGAACTCAAAGGGTTCTCATAAGAGCTCGAAATCTTTGCAAGCAAATAATCTTCATAACTCTGCTTCTGGAGACATAACCAGCATTAATAAAAACTCTGGTCTGCTTGTGCAGTGCAATTTCTTTTGCATTTTTTGTGCATTCTCCTCATGATTGTTCATGCTTACCACTAACTCTCCTAATGGTTGTTTGCTTCTTATTGTGTTAGTTTCCAAGCAAGGGAAGACAGGTGTAGCAGCAACTTCAGGGGATGCCCAGGCTTTGTCCAATGAGGTAATAGCATTTAAGCTCTAGTTTAGGTTCTTTTGTCATTAGTTTAATTTTTTAACGTTTAAGCTTGACATCCATTCTTTTCATGCTTATGATGGCTTTCTGACTCAAATTTTGGTTTGTTCCCCTCTTTCATAATTGCTTGGTGATTAGGTGCATTGCACTCTGTAAATTTGCCATGGGTTGACTCTGAGCTTTTTGTTCTAAACATTTTTTTAATCTCTTGGATGCTTTTCCCCCCTTCTCTTAAGTCATGTATGCATGTTGCAGTTAGGAAAATTGAGCAATTCACTGAGTGAACAATGAAATGATATTCTGTTGTAATTTTGTCGTGTGCTGAGGTTTAATACCTTCATGTTCCTCTTGTACAGATTGCTGATCTTAAGCTCTCTGTTGACCTTTTGGAGAAGGAAAGAGATTTTTACTTTGCTAAATTACGTGATATTGAGATACTTTGTCAGACTCCTGAAGTGGAGAATCTCCCGGTAACAGTTCCTTTTAAGCCCTTCTTCACATTTTCTGAACTGTGTACATACATGCATGCATACCTGTGTATTCATTATGGATGCTTTTACCACTACCATCTTAAGTTCACAGAGCATATCCATTGTCTGAGTTACCCAATGGTGGATCTTTGCCTAGCTTTAGTTGCTTGTGTTCAAACCTTGGACAAGAAGAGAGGGGTTATTATTCTACAAGGCCGTCGGCAGTTTCATATATTTAAATGTATTAATATGATGTTTGACAATTCATAGTGTAGTTATACTTTGGCCAACTATGTCAACCTTTTACACCCTGTGATGTTAGGAGTTGCTCTGTTAATGATATTTTATGGGATTTTGGGCTCTGTTTTGATTTTCAATACTTACATTTTCCTTATTACTCATCCAAGTAGGCATCCTCTCTCAGTACGATAATGTGGAAGGATGTTGAGGTAAAGTCAGAAATACAGCATAATTGTTCTTATTATAGGCTTGTGTTTTGTGTCATGGATATGATGTATTGTTTGTCACGATAATCGAAGTGTAGTTGTAGTCGGTGGGTCAAAGTTTTTCTTTTAAACCCATTTTTCTGATTTGCAAGCTTATTGAAAAATTGCAGATGGCGGTAGCAATAAAGAAAATACTATATGCTGCGGATGCAAAAGAATCTGCTCTTGAAGAAGCTCAGGAGTATATTAGCCAATCTGCTGAATCAGGTGAAACAGGAGAGTGAAAGGACAAATGAGCTTTGACTAACAAAAGGATGTGTTGGAAGTGAAGAAACCGCCTTAGTCCTTGTGTTGATTATGAAATGGTAGACAAGGGAACTGTGAAAGTGTAACTTGAGACAAAAGAATGGAACCATTTCTGCTGTCTCATAAGCGCTGGATGATTATGAATAACTTACTAGAGAATAGTGGTAAGAAAACAGCTGTTTTGAGGCTTTTGTGCTCCTTGTTAGCTTTTATATGTATAACCCATCTGACTTGATATTTATGGAATCCTTGTTAACAATTCCTCCGCTGCAAAATGCATCTCTACCCCCTTTTTTATTATTAATAATTGATGTTGGGACTGCAGTTTTGGCCGTCGATGGGGTGATGGGTGAGTTGGCAACAATTGTTGACTGTAACGACAAACATTTGATCCAATTATACAAAAAAAGAGAATAACTGAAACTGTTGGATTTCGATCAATGCGATGGGTTTATTGTAATCGGCTTGATTTGGGCGCTTCTGGTCCAAAATATATTTGATGCAATAAACGAGAGAGGGTTTGGCTTATACACGGGTAAGGTTGGATAGAGCTTTAGTAAATGCAGCCCTAAAGTTGTAAACTTACCTCGTGTACATTCAGACCATCATCCCTTATTAGTTCGTTGTAAACAAGTAGCCCCAACAGTGCAAGCTGATTGTAATTTCGATGTGAGGAAGCATGGATGGCGCACCTAGACTTTGCAGAGTTTATTGAAGACAACTGGAGCCTAGAAGGAACAAGTATTACTGCCACGTTGAGTAATCTTGCTTGCTGCAGCTCTGAATATGTGGCGGTTTGACTCTTTCTTGAGGTGGAGGAATTTAATTTGGTCTTGTATCAAGAAGATTTGATGTGGTTAGGAACGAGGCGGTATATCGCAGAGTGGTGTGGAATGCTGAACTAGTCTTTGAAATGAGTAAGCTCCGAGTTGGTGCAAGGGGAAAGCAAAGTGGCCCTCAGATTATGGGGCAATGCTGGATGGATACAGATTTTCTACCATGGGCGCGGTTCTGAGAGGGCTGAAAAAATGTAAAAAGGAAGAACTGTGGAGGAAATCACAGAGCGGGACAATGAAATTCAATGTGGATGGTGCAGCTCAAGGGTGCTTTGGAAAGGCTGGTATAGGGGGTGTTATGAGGGATGAGAATGGCCTAATAAAAATTATCTTTTCCAAAGCCATCGGCTGAACGATTCGAGTGTAGCAAAAATCAATGCCATTAGGGAAGCATTCTAGCCATTCTCACAAGCTAATTATTGAGAGCGACTCAAGAAACGCAGTTAAATGGACAAGCAAACCGAGCGACGGCCCATGGAGGATGAGGAAGTGGGCACTTCACATCGAAAGATTGAAGGAGGAGATAAAAGGGCGGGAGATCACGCATGCACATAGGGAGAGCAACCAGCTGGCTGACAGCTTAGCTAGAGAAGGTGTCCAAAGACGAGGAGATCTTGTTAGTGCTTTCGAGTAAGCAATTGCCCCTTGTGTGTGTGGCTACGTCCTCAGTGCAGGGATGTTGGGAAGGCTAGTGAATTGCATGTTACTGTGTGCAACCAGGTATTCCTTCAATATGCTTATGGCTGTGAATGATTCCGGATTGCTGTGCATGTGATGTCCTTTGTCATTTTGGATTATGGGATGTATAGGGAAGGGTTGTGATTAATGTATAGCTGGGCTGATATTGACCCTCTGTTTTTTGTTCCTTTGGCCATGGCCTCCTGTGTTCTGAGGCTTCTGGGTTTTTGACTTTGGTAATTAGGGGATTGATGAGTACTGAAATGTATATAAGGGAAGTGTTATGATTTTTGAGTCGATTTTGGCTGTTGTACTTGAGTGTAAGTGTAACAGGACAAAATCTGATGCTCTTTTCAATGGTGGAACTATTGTTCCCTCTATTTCTAATGAACTTAAGAACTTCCAAAAAAGGGAAAGAAGATTTAATGTGGCGGCAAAAGATCAAAACTGATTGGCTAAAATACCGGGATGGTAATACAAAATTTTATCATGCTTCAGTTAAAGGGAAACAGAGGAGGAAAGGATCTCTGCACTTAAAAGAGATGATGGGTCCCGATGCAATGATCAAACCCAATTGGAGAGAATGGTGATTGGGTTCTATGAACAATTATATGCAGATGATGGCATTATGGTATAGGTTCGGATGTTGTCAGGTTTATGCAAGAAGAATATAACTTAGGTTATTCCCCAGTAGAATTGAATCATACTTTGATCGCTCTAATACCAAAGATCGAAGGACCTGAAAAAATTTCACAATTTCGTCCAATTAGTTTGTGTTCTGTCCAATTGAAGTTGATTAGCAAGGTTCCGGTAGACCATTTGAGACTGTTTTTCAAAGAATTGATTGAGAAGACTCAATGCAGTTTCATTCCAAGTAGGCAAGCAACGGATATTATCATTATTGTCGAAGAGGTGATTCATACCATGAGGAATATGAAGAGAAAAGAGGGGGCCCTGGCCATCAAAATCGACTTAGAAAAAAGGTATGATTGTGTGAAATGGAGTTTCATTTAAGATGTGTTGGAAGAGGTCAGAATTCCTGCTGCCTGGGATAATTTGATTATGTATATGGTAAGAACTCCAACCTTTTCTGTCACGAGGGGAATTACACAAGCAGACCCACTATCTCCTTATCTGTTTGTTCTTTGCCTAGAAAAATTGTCTCGATTGATTGATAATAAGGTATGGTTGGGAAATTGGAGACCACTACTTTTTAACAAAGAATGGCCCTTTCTTAGCTCATGTTTGTTATGTTGTCAATTTAGTGTTATTTCGAGTGGCTTCGACGAAACAAGTGCAAGTTATGACGAAGACTCTTGACAGATTCCACTTGGTTTCGGGTCAAAAGGTTAGTCTTTCGAAGTCAAGGTTGCTTGTTTCTTCAAATGTATCCCCTGTAGAGGCTAAAAATCTAAAGTAACATAGCCAAGATCACCCTGACAAAAGACTTTGGAAAGAATCTTGGAACCCCAACGATATATGAAAGGATAACTCGAACCACCTATTCAGAACTGATTGGTGAGGTCAAGCTACGATTGGAAAGCTGGGGCAATAAATATTTATCAATGGCAGGGAGGATATCATTAGTGCAATCAGTGACTAGCACAATGGCGACATATCTAATGCATACAACTTTCCTCCAGGAAATGTTACCAAGGAGATCCATTATTTAAACGGGGCCATGTAAGAGGCTCACGAAAGATTCATGCTTTGAACTGGGAAAGAATCTATTCACCAAAGGATGAAGGTGGTTTACAAATCTGAGACTCCGGAAAATTTAACTTGGCGTTGCTTGCAAAAATTGGGTGGAACTTATGGAAAAGAAAGGATTGTTTGTGAATGGAACTGTTGAAGAAAAATTACCCCAGATCTCAAGATTTTATGTTTGCCAGGGCAAAATCATCAGCAGAGAAGTATTTTGAAAAGTAAGGATGCACTATCCAAGGGAGTGGGAGGGAAAGCGTGTGAGTAATGGCTTGGTTGGATACATGGCTTATGAGGTACAAGTGGCAAATTCTTTTCCTAAAGCAAGTCATTGGAAACAAGTTTGGAGTTTAACCAGCTCTGGAAAGGTTGGTCTATTTATTTGGCGCATTTTGCATGAGGCGTTACCTACATCGAAGTGGTTTTTGAATCGGAAGCTGAGACCGTCTGTGTCATGCCATGAGGGATTGCAGCAAGTCAAGGAATTCGTGGCTTCAAATCCTCCCAGATTTATATACAGATGATTTCTTTGATGACGATCTGACTCAGTGGGTGCTGAATAAAATGTCATTTGATAATGTTCCATGGAGCTATTTGATGACTCTTTCACTTAGCCTCTAAACGTGCAGCAATAGATTTGGACTAAAGCAAAGGAGGCATGGGGTATACTAGGTAGAGAAAATCATCGAATTAAGCAGAAAATTCTGATAGCTTGGGAGAAGCCCAAGAAGGGTTATGTCACTCTGAATGCTGATGGTAGCGCAAAAAGGCAACTAGGAGTGGCGGTACTTGGTGTGATTAGGGATGACTATGGATATTGGATTGTGAGTTTTAGTCATAAAATTGGGATTTCTTTTTCCTTCTCACTTGAGTTATGGGGCACATACTATAGTTTGAAACTATGTAGGAGGCAGATTTAGAAATTTTTTTAAGTAGTGTCATAAAAATAATAATAATAATAATAATAATAATATAAAAATATGTTAAAATTTATAAACTAAATTTTTAATATTAAATTAAAAAAAATATAAACTCACTATATTCATTTAATATTTCAAAGTAAAAATATCGAAGATAATTATAATTGTTCATGACGAGTTTTCATATTTTAAAAACAGTATATAACAACATCAATAGAAATACTATCAAATACATTTTTTTTAATATATGTCACCAAATTATCATTATCAATTCAATTGCGTATTCTGTGCTTTATAAATTTTATTATTGAGAAAGTTTTTTCAATTAACATTGTTGTTACCGAAGTAGCTCTATGTCCAATTCAATGAAACCATTATAAAGCTTCTCAAGTTGCAAATCTAAAACTTCATTTGTTATATCGAAATGATAATGATGAAAATTTGAGACTTTTGAAACTTTGCATCTTAATCTTCCTCGAAGCACAAATGTAGTATCTATATTTGGAATCACTGTTACGACGGGTCTCAAGAATATGACTTAAAATTTTAGAGAGGAATAGTGGTTTAGGTTTTCACTCTTTTAATAGAATCTTAAATCATATAAAGAATGTAATATTTAAATATTAATATATAAATTATTTTTTGATAAATTTACACTTGAAGTCTTTGACCCTACTCCTTATAAAATTACAAAAAAAATTAGTAAATTTATTAATATCATTAACTATATAAAAGTCTAGATAAGAAGTATATAAAGTAAAAAATGTTGGTAAACGGAATGGTGTCACCTTAGGATAAGCCTACCCATGGACCAGGGGTTTTAGGAAAATCCAAGTGGAGACTAACTCACTGTTAGCATTACAAAGAGTTTCCAGTCAAGTTTCTCTGTTGGATCCGAATGCCCAGCTGTTGAGAGCTATCAAGGGAGTTGCTTCAACATGATTTAGATTGTTCAATTTCTCGCATACATTGTGCAGCTAACCATTGGATGGCTATACATCTTGATAACTTATCTTTGAGATTATATATTTTCGATTCTTCTCCCGTTAATATTTAATCTTATTTATATGCAGACGGTTTAAGCATATCATGGCCTAGAATGGTGTAATAAGATTTCTCTATTAATTTCCCCTAACTCAAAAAAAAAAAATTATATACCTTTAGTTTGATCCTATGTATTTTAGAAATATTAATAATATTTATACATATAATATATTTTTAAAAAATATATTATTAATGTTCAGTTATTTGATCAATTAGATTGTAAATTTTGAACATTAAAGATGGACTGAAATAGTTGAATAAAGCGTCTCTCCTAAGTAATCAATATCGGAATAAAAAAAAAAAGAGAAAGAAAAATTAAATTGAATTTATCAAATTCATTCAGTTTTAATAAATTATTTCGGTTTGGACTGATTAATGCTAAGCCTGGTTGATATCGATGAGCTAATTGATCCCACATTAATTGCCATTTCTGATATATATATATATATATAGCTAGCCGTAATTAAGAGATTTAGGTAGACACATCTTGAGAAACAATGGTTACAAACAATAATCTGGGTTCTAAAATTTTTGTTTATGCACAAAATCTATTTCACTTACCAATCAAATGTTCTTTCAAAAGTATTAATATATAGTTAGTTACAAATATTTAATCAGATTTTACCCATCAATACTTCATAAAATTATAACATAATTGAGTTTTTTTCACATTCATATTTCATTTTCTTTTTTTTTTTAATTTTCGTTTAGTTTAATAATTTTCTATTCATTTAATTTTATATTATTATTGTTAACTAATACAAAATTATTTTATTTTATTACTGTTTTTCTTAAATTTATGATTTAATCTGTTTATTTTTTAATTATTTTTATTTATTAAAAATAAATTAAATTGTATCAAATAATTTTTAACGTTAATTTTGCTTAAGTTTTCAAAAAACAAAAAAAAAAACAAAACCATTTTGATTTGAAAGTAAAGTTGTTAAAAGCTATTTTAATTTATTTAGACTACTACTTTGAAAACAATTTTACTCAAAATAATACTTGTTACAGAATCTGCAACTAAAGCCGAACAAAGTCCTAGGTTTGGCCAATAATTCTCTTTTGTTTATCAGGAAACAGGAATAAGTTGCTAAACTCTACAAGGACATGATCGTATGCTAAACTCTACAAAGGCTGAAAACAATTTGCATGCTTTCTCACTGCTGCTGCGTTGTGCCCACTTATCAATCTTTTCAAGTCAAAAATATATGCATACTCCATCTATAAACCCAAGGAGACATCCACATAAACTCTAAACTCAGACTTAAAACAGTACCAAGTTCCCACCACCCTCCTGCCACTGCCAAGTGTTTTGGAACCATTACCAGGAGCTAACCTGCCTCCCCCGACCTATATCCCCACCAACGTAAAAGGACTTGTAACAGAAAAACGAAAACATATCAAATTTCTTTTGCTACTTGTATAAATTTCTTTCCTATTGACTCTGCCTGCGTTTCTAAAATTCTCATTCTACCTGCATGTGTTATATCTTATGAAGACAATTCTTTCTTTAAGGCTTGTACTTGTATAATACTGCAAACCCACAAAAACAAACAAAGAAACTACAGTACATTTTCAGGTAGAAGATTGTGGGAGAAAGGAATCTTACTATCCCTCCTTTTATGTTGATATTGGAAGACAGAATTTATTCTTCCGTTACAAGCAGTGCTCAAATACCTTCCTTGATTGTTCTCCCTATGATTCTCACTGTAGGAAAGCCTTGAGGAAAACCATTCATCCAAACAGAAATTGGTGATTGTGAAACAGGTTACCCTTAAGAACTGGCCAACTCGTTATCAGATACGCCTTCACTCTACAATGAGAGCAAATTTTAGATTTTATCAATGACATCCCTGTTATGAGAAACATCTGATTCTATTCCTAGGTTTACCAGTAAAATATAGTTAAAAGGGATGCCTGAATAATTGATAAATCATCATTATGGTGCCACTACACTCTGATGAATTCTTATCTCATGATGACAAGCCAATATGGGTGCAAATATTTTCAGCACATCTCGGTTTAACTTCCGAGTAATACTAGAAAATTTAAGTTCACATTGGTAAGCATAAGCTCATGCAACAGGTCACAGGGATATGACAAAAGATCTTGTGCAGGTGCAAAAGTAATGGGGTTTTTTTTTTCCTTATACAGGCCAAAGCATAATAATACATAAATAATTTCCTCAAAATGCTAAATTTTACTGCTTAGACTGAAAACTTTTCAAAATGAAAAAGAATGTTTAAGTATTTGTATTTGAAAAGAAAACTAGGTTTTATGCTATATTTGAATTCTTAAAGCAAGACAAGTTTGTGAGTCATAGCCTTTCCAGTTAAGACATTATCAAATAAAATGGTTTAAATAAAAAGACAATGCTTGTACCTGAGTGGAGAAGGTCTCATATAGTTCACTACTGAGTAAGAGGAAAGCATTTTTATATGCGCCATCTTTGCAATATACTATCCACTATTTGCCATCCTATCTCTCAGTGCTGTTTACTTTGCCATTAGATCCTTACTCAAGACGTTGGGCATGTCAAAAGGTTTTTCGTTCTATCTGGGCTAGTCATGCCTCTGAGATATCTTCAACTCTGAACAAGAATGTGAATTCAGTGAGTGAAATTCAGTTCCAGGGTGCAGTTGATTGTCAAGTGCTCTTCCAGCCATTTTCTTTAACTGTCAAATGATAGCATTAATCAACATCCGTTACGTTTGTACTGAACAAACATAATGCCAAAATATTAAATAAAAGCATCTCGTAATGATTGTATTTCATAATTCTCTTCTTAGCTCAAGTCATTTACACTAAAAATCTAATGGAGCCTTGATGGCATCTAAGAATCATTAAATAATATCCGACTTGCCATCACCAACAAGCATTGGATTGGCATAGTTGAAGTCAAGACCTCTGCTTATGTGTTGACAAACCTGTTTGTATGCACACATATTCAATAAAGAAAACAGGATAAAAATCAGTGCCATCTAAACTTTCACAAAGGAATATATTTGGTCTGTCTGTACGCACCTTTCTAAAATTTTATCTATTTTATCAGGTAGGTTTTATGAATTGAAAGAAATATCTTCTCTTTGAGGAAGAACAAAATTTCTTCAACCATTTTTTGAGTACCTATTTCCATGTTTGTCCTGTTCTGCGGCTGGATACATATATTTGAGTAACCAAACAATAAATTTTTTCTTTTTTGCTCAAAAACCAAACAATAAAGTTATTAATGTACATTTTTTTTTTCATTTTCTCCAAAATAATAGTCATTACTTTTCTAGGTTGGAATGCAACACCCTGTCAGCCCATAAATACAACACAGAATAGTTCATTGGTAGAAGTGACAGGTGCAAGGTCTACAAGGTCCAAAGAACCATATGTGGAGGTCTTCCTGCTCCTCCTATTCTTAGTGCATCTGATATATGCTTTTTCATTGAAACCTCCCCAAAGAAAGCATGTTTAGTGTTATAAATGCATACTGTCAAGTGTCCAACTGTATTTACTTGCATGAAAGCTTCCAGGATGAGGGTTAGAAAAGGCAGCATGCAATCCACATCTCTAAAAGCAAAGACTAGTATGGTGTGTGCATGTAAATTTCCACACATGGTTCAGAAAGAACATTTAAGAGACTAAGACAGCCTGTACGAGTTCTTGTAATTTGTAATCCTTTCAGGTACCGTTTCTCCAGATACTTTCCTCCATGTATCTAATCCCAACCATGAACAAACTATGCCTTTCAAAATGATATAAAAGAACAAGTTCAATTAAATTCATGAATGGGTATAACAATAGAAGCTTACTTCCAGTTTAAACTCATGCAATAACAGAACCCAGATTCTTTTTTCATACCTGCACAGTCAGAGATCTGATTACTTCCTTTGAAGCCTTGTTCTTTTCAGCTTCCTCATGTGCTGTACCCATTGCCTCCTTCAACCGCCTTGATGTCCTTTCAAGGTTTTCTTCTAGGACTTGGGATTTGACAGTAAGATCCTCAACCTGCAAGCCATATTACCATCATAATTCAATGCAGCTATAGCATAGTTTCCTGCCATGGAAAATTGAAGGGCGTCTTGACATAAATTGCAAGACATGCACTAGTGACAATGCTTGGCTCATATGAATCAAGTCATACTATTGGCTCATAGGAACATCTGCAGCCAGTGCAGGGTGTCTATTGATTATTAATATGAAAGTACCATGGTTCATTTTTTTCCCTTCTTTGACAATATAATTCTTTTCAGTAACTGATGAATATTTTAAGATGTTTAAAAAGTACAGGAACAACAATGACTATAGAATAGCCTCTATCCTGCTAAATTAAGTGTCAGAAATGGAAAAGGAGAGCATGTTTTAAAATATTTGTCAACAAATTACTTTATGGAACAGATTATAGATTAAAAAAAAAAACCAAAGATAAAAATGATAACCCTAAAGGTGAGTGAATGATAAATGCAAAATAAATTCATGTACACATCTACAAAAGTAAATCAAAACTTCCTCATGCCTAAGCAGTCATAATCACCATATCAGCTTTGGTTATCTATTGTCACATGGTATGCAAGTGTATGACATAAAATGTTGTAAGCTATCATGGTACTTTTCTTTATTCTTTAGTTATCATTTATCGAACATAACAAATAAGAATGTATTTCATATCTTTATTCTTTCTTCACTATTTACTAAAGCATATTTCTGATACTTGAGAAGCCACGGATATTCACCTGTGCTCTTAGTATACCTATCTCTTGAGTGAGGCTCTCAACTGTGTGCTTTGAGCCATTGAAAAGGAATTCTGGATTTGCAAGATCAGTATGAATTGAAGCTCTTGTAATACAATAAGCTGGACTTGACTTCCTTGAGGGAGGAGATGAACCTTGAGAAACCATTCTTGAACCAGAAGAAGAAGCTGATATTCTCGTAGAATTTCCAAATAAAGAGGTTGATTCCCATTGAGAATTTTCATTTAGTACTCTCCTATCATGTTTGGAATTTTGGCTCCTGGTCTGTCTGAATGAATCAAAGGAGGCAAGCCTGGCAAGCTTACGAAGAGATTTTGAATTCAGAGTATCTTTCTCTGGTAACTCATTAGTATTCTGATTTAAGCTTTCCCTTAAATTCTTAATGAAATCAGGAGTTGATCTAGACTCCTTTTTCCTATTTAATTTGGTAAAACAATCATCACAGACCCGATAAGGCTTGTTCATATTAGGAGCCAAAGCAGCTTTTAGAGATTTCTTACAGCTGCAAGCTTTACAAAAGACTAGCCCACAGTTGTAACAGTTATGACGCTTTCTGATGAAACTAAATGGATTCCGACAACCAGAACAATTAAAATGATCAGCACCTAGTGCCCAGTCATGGAGACAAATTGCAGCAGTAAAGTTGGAGCCACATACCACTCTCTTTACTCGTTTGTTTTGCAAAGCATCAACAAGTGTAGGTACATTCCTGTCTGCATTGTCTCCATGACCTAATTGACCATTTGCACCCTTTCCCCAGGTGTAAACCTTAGCATCTGAACTGCGAACCACAATATGATGAGAACCACATGCTATCTCTTCAATTCGGCTGTTTTTGATATTTCCTTTGACACAAGTTGGAAGCTTGCTACTTCCAGAGCTCCCAAGTTGTCCAGGACCAACACTCCCCATGGAATACACTTTCCCTGTGTCAGTTAGAGCAACAGTGACACTGTGGCCACAAGCCACTTGAGAAAAGCTTGTAGTGTCTGACAGTGCTACCAAAGAAGGAACTAATCTGGGTTCTTTATCACCATGTCCAAGCTGGCCTTTCTCCCCATCCCCCCAGGTGAACAGCTTTCCAGATGCAAATGCACCAGAAGTCTC